GAATGTCCTTTACTTTTAATACGCTAATTAAAGGCTTTATAATTCTGATAGCCATTATTCTTTTTCATAACCTCTTAACTTACCAGGTGATCATTTTTTATTTCCCTTCTATACTTTTTAATATTTCTACTGGTTTTCATTTGGTTTATGAGATCTATATTCACCACCAACTTCTTTTTAAATGTGAAAATTGGTGCAAGGTGAGAGCGAGTCGGAAGAGACCAACTGAGGAAGGGAGAGCAAGGGTGTAAAGAGGCAAAGGCACTGAGAGAAATTGGGCTTGAGAGGAAGAGGAGGAAAGATGTGGTAAAAGAGAAACAATTGAGGGCAAGAGTAACTGTTGGGCAAAAATGTGCAAAGGGATGAACCAGTTTCAGCACAAAGAAGATGAGGATGAGTGAATGAGGGGTAATACAGCATTTGAAAGGGGTGTGTGTAAGAGGGAAATGACAAAGTAGACACAGGAGGAGAAGTTAACCAGCAATATCGAAAGAAGAGACATCGATGGTCAAAGGGAAACACCCTGCCAGGGCCATTGGTTATGTTACACTTGGGTCTTTTGTTTTCTTTGAAACCCTATTTCAAGGGTATAAGAGATACACTATATAAGCTTTGGGAATGCCCAATAATCTTTCCCAGGTCTATATATTCCTATTTACTATTTTCTAACCAATATGTAGAGCCCAGTTTGGATACTAAAGCTGGATGTTTTTCATACTGCCATTCCTAATTTTCAGAGATACCTAAAATCTTGCTGATGTACATCACAATAATATACAAGTCATTGAACCCATAGTCATCTGAAATGCTGCAGAGGTAGATAGACTTTCAGAAACTAGCTCCTGCCTATGGCCTCCTTTATTAGCTCCACCCTCAGCAAATATGTTTCTGCAGCAGTGAAATAGAATTTTCATTTCTGCACATTACTCTAAACATATATCGGTTATTTATTTTCATTGTTATTAAATGGTTTCAAATCTCTATTTGCTTTGGCTCCCTGATTATAATGATAATCGTTGCATTTGGTATAGCACCTTCATGTCAGAAGGACGCTTCAAAGAGCTTCACAGGATTCACTGGCAACTGTATATTTCATAAGCAAATTTGGCAGGGCATTTGTACACAAGAATAATAATAATAATAATAATAATCCTTGCATTTGATATAGCGCTTTTCACGTCGGGAGGACGTCCCAAAGCGCTTCACAGAACACACTGTAAAGTGAATTGACTATATAATGTCCCACAAACATCCTTGAAGTGAGTGACTGCATTTTCTTGGAGGATTGTTGGCCAGGACATGGGAGAAACTCATTTGCCTTTTCAAATAGTGCCATGGGATCTTTAATGTCCACCAAAACAAGCTGACATCACTTTGGTTTAAACATCTCATACAAAGATCGGCACCTCCAACAATGCAGCACACCTTGAGAACCGTGTTGGAGTGTCATCTTAGACTATCAGTTCGAAGTCCTGACATGGAGATTGAATCGACAACTTTCTGACTCAGAGGCAAGAGCGCTACCAACTGAGACATGTTGACGCCTGATTAGGGGGAATATTAAGATGGTGAGCCTTCAGTTTAACACTTGCATGAAGATAAGTGTTGAGTGTCATTAGGCTGTTCCCCTGTCCATGGAGGGCAGCTTAAGAGGCTCACAGGAGCAGGAGGAGCCCATTCAGTGCATCCAACCATAATCAAATGTTCAGTAAATTACAACAGATCTTTTAAGGCCATTTTTCCCACTTTTTCTCTTAATCCTTAAAACCCTTACTTCCCAAGTACCTATTCAGACGATAGGAACAAGTTCAAAGAGTAATCAGAAGCTTGGACAAGTTTAGGATGGGTTGAGGTCAGGATACTGGGGTCATTTAAGAGTCAGCTTGATTCTAGATTACGATGGGAAAATGGTAGAGTTTGTATTATGGAAGGAATGAAATCAAACCGGTCGAAGGACCTTCTTCGTCTGAATCTCATAATCTTGTGAATGAAACACAGATAATTAGCGGGCTGTTTTGGCCAGTCTTAGCACCCATTGTCCAACTATAAGTGAACTGATATAATATTGTGACTGCTGCTTGTGTCAAACTGGTTCTGTCTTCAAAGCTGTATTGTTGCAGGAACCAAGCCCGTACAGTAAACCAAGCTGGAGAACAGTAGTTCACTTATTAAGATTAGGCTTGTTCTATACAAACATGATAATATAGATTTGTTTACAAGTTTTGAAAGTCTGCTAGAATTTTATTCACTGCAGAATGCTTATTCTTTCTCTTCTTTCGGTGGTATTCCTCCCTTTAATCCAGCAGTAATTTCACATGCATAATGGAATTATTTGCAATAAAATATACGATGAAGCAAATAACCCCAAGGCCACTCCTTGTTGTTGTATGTGGAGATGAGAATCAGTCAAAGCCAGGCAGCAGCCATAGTCGGCTTCGCACTGCCAGATTTTCAAAAGGAATAGTAATTACCGAATCCCAAACCTGCTACAGCCGATCTCTGGAATTTCACTCAGACCCTGATTCGATGTCAGATCAGCTACCAAATGGAATTCCAGAGGGTCATTCATATCAAATCCAGGATTTATTTACTAACCCTTTTTAATCTCCCAATGTAAGTATAGAAACGTTCTGCAAATTGTGGGACTAAAAGGGTTATGTTTTTTTATTATTAAACCTTGCATTTGATATAGCATCTTATCACATTGTCAAATTGTCTCAAAGTGCTTCACAGGCTTTCACTGAAAAGTTGTAGTGTCAGTGTATATGTAGGTGAATGTGGCAACCAATTTTTTCCTAGTCATGTGCAACAAACAATCATAAAGTGAATGACAATTTTATCCAGAGGATTGTTGACCAGTACATCAGGAGAGACAATTTGTCAATTGCATCCATAGTCACTGGCAAAAATTTACACCCTGCGGAAAAAAACAATTTGAGCCTCAGGGGATGGTGGAGAGTGGAAGAGCAATTTCAAACCAGTCACAATAATTAGTCATGATTTCACAGCCTCACCTTATTTGGCATCTGTCTATTCTGTTGGAATAATCCCTCTCCTGATAAATCAAATTTGCGCAGTAGATGTGACCAAAATCAAGGCTGAATTTCAAAGCTGAACTGTGAGAGGACAGATTAACAAAAAACTAACAGATTTCAATATGAATTAATTGCAAGGCTTGAAAAGGAATGGAGAAATCTATGCCTCCAGCTATCGAACCAGCCAATGTCATATTACCTTATTTAGTGGCACCTTCTCTCCATGCATTCATATCACACGTAGACTGAGTAGCAGCAGAACATGGAAGTTTCACAGATGTTAAAAAATGCAATTTTTTCCTCAAATCAAAACCTTTGCTTCCTATAGCATCTCATTCAAAATAAAAAGATTTAATTTTAACATAAAGCAAAGATTATGACCCAGAGTATTTTGCCAGTGAAGTGGATTGCAGTATTGGACTTTCTGTACAAACCTCTTGACAGACTGTCTTTTCAGCAACTGCCTCTTTGTGACATGCAATAAGACAGAAGAATTTATTTAGAATCCGCTTAAACTTTCTTTTACATTGCAAGAGGGATTTGAGGTTCCCACTGAAGTGTACATCTTTCTTTATACTGTTATCTACAGCGGAACTGCAGGCTTGTTGCAATCAAGCACTGGAAATCTCCACCATGTCAATTGTCAGATATTAATTATTTTGATGTATAGGCCTTTGGCAGGAAATCATACCATAGTGAAACGGTCTGAAAATGGCAATTATCCCTCTATAGCAAAGTAGGAACCAGTAACTTTGTGAACTCAATAGACATTCTACATCAGACATACAGAGCACGAGTGTGTGAGCCAGACCACAGTATGGCATTTACCAAGGTGGGAGCAAAGAAAAATGGATATTTACGATTGCTGAAGGTGCCCATCCTTCAGAGTTAAATGAACAGCTACACAAATCTATTTTAAAATTCAGTACACAAACCTCAGCCAGATCTGTTTTGAGGGAAAAAAAATCACAATTTCTTAAAACGGATTTAGGTGAACATCAATAGCCAGTCACAGTTATATACAATGTTTGTATTTACCTCTGTAGAGATTCCCATATAGAGAAATTACTACCCTCACTGAACAAAATGCCTTCCTCTGCAATAATCATGAATGCACCCCAGGCAGTTTCTGCATCTCTACCAGCACCGGGCTACTGCAATTTACATTCTCAAAGGGAATCTGGTAAATGGTGACAGTTCCCACATCATGTTATAAGAGAATCATCTGAACAGTAATTTTTCCCCCAAAAAGGATAACTGACATCAAATTTTCAATTGGACCAGATTGGGTCCTCACAATCTTAGCAAGCACAGAATAATCAAACATAGCTAAAATAGAATGCTTTTAACTCCCCACTACTCCCCCAAACCCTGGCCTGTGCAAAGAACTGATTAGAAATGTTAATGAAAGCAATGATCACAAGCAAAGAATTTCATTAATTCAGAGAAGCTAAAGATAAGGCGATCAATTAACTCCATAGTTTCCGACACCATTCAGTGATCCAAAACACTCTGATTTATAACACATACACACACACACAAACAGACATTTAGATATGTGGCACTGGTCATAAAATACTTGCTTTTTTAAAAAAAAATGTCTAAAAGGATCATTTCCCACAATTCGTAAAATATTAATGTCGCTTCAAATAACCCCTGATTGCAACGTGCATTCTGTGCTGCTCCCCTACATATCCCAACCATGTAACAATCATTGTTCTCATGCAGCATCAATCTATTTTGAGGTTATTTTCATGCTATTCTGTTCCTAAATATTTGCCCTTTTCTGAAGACAGAAGCATAAATACACACCAATAAGATGTAAAAGGCTGCAACCAGCTGCACTTGCTGGGGATGCTCTCCTCTTGTGATGCTGGCAGTCTACTTCATTAACCTTTGCTGCAATCAATATTCATCACCCCACCCTTAGCAGGTTAGCTCGCTGCATCAGCACCAACCACCTACCATTCCGTGCCAACCGAAGGATCCTGGACAGCGACAGTCCACTGCTCAATCTGCCCTCACACCATCCTGCTCCTCATCACAACAAAAACAATGGGACGGTGGAGAGAACACACACGGAGAGAGGGAGAGGGAGAGGGAGAAGGAGAAAGAAAGCAAGGAAGAAAGAAAGAAAGAAAGAAAGCTGTCGGAGAGAAGAAAGACTTGCTGAATCACTGGCTTCACCAGTGCTTAACCATCGTGCAGACCAATGCTGGCTGTACCACTGTGGAACCTACCAGATGAGACACAGGGCCTGGGGAATAGGTTTCTATGGTAACTGGAAGGAGCACATATGACGTCAAAAGCTCACATCTCTCAGGGGGTGGTGGGGGGGAATACATTCATATCTACAACTATCTCCTGGTGAGTCAATATGCTTCCCATAGTGATTTGTTTCAAAGGCAATGTAAAGCCAATTATCGAATAGCATTGTCAGCTAAAGCAGAGATGGCGCAGAAATAACAAGGAATACATGTTCCCAGGGATGCTGCTTCTCCGACAGACCTTCACACGTGCAGCACGTCAGGTGTAATTTGGTCACCAAAATTAGGTTGTAGAACTACAGAATAATATCATTCGGACCACCTTTGTTATTCCGCATAGATTTCATAATGACTTATCCAAAGCAAAATATCTGAGTGTTGTATGTTATTCTCGTGATAAGGATGGCAATACTGTAAGAATACTCTTTAATTGCAATATTGAGTTAATAGTTAAAAACTCACATACTGTGGCTCATTTGTATAATATTATCAGAAAGTACCACCCTTCCTCCTCCCTTTCCCCTCCCCACACACATAAATATACAACAGTACACTCACACCCCTATCATTAACACATTGAAAGCTGTTACTGCTACATTATTACTGCACCACTTTACAAAAGGTGAACAGATTGCAGGATTTTGCTCGAAAACACCACAGGTAACCCAATGCCCTCTGTTATTGTTATCCTTCCCGCCTCAGCTACCTGTGAAATCACTATTACATTCTTAGGGAATGGCATTGCTTCTGAAGGCCTTTGCTCAACATCGTTTACATGTTTGTTCTGTGAGCCACAAAGGAAAGTCAGTGCTCGAGGGGTTAATGCACATTATGTAGCTTGCCGGCCAATGAGATTGTCACTCAGTGGAGGAGCTGCTCCTCGGTACAAACAACACCATGATGAATACACAGTGCATACAGCACGGAGCTGGCAATGTGACTTCAGTCACATCTTCTACTCTGGATATTTCAATTCATTATATCCTCTGTTGATCTACTTTCGGAGCTGCTCAATTCAGGCTGTCAGAGCAGATTACTGCGTGAATATTCTTACACTTTGATAACACTGCCACCAAATTTTAATGAATAATTTAAGCCGATAACTCAAATTCAGCTCCCACTTCAAGAGTAATACTGTGATGGCCAACAAATTGAAACATTCTGAGAAGAAATGTGTTGCCCGTGTGATATTTAACAGAATAAATGAAATGGACATCAATAGGCTTCCTATTCCATCCCCCCCCTACCATTGATTGGGCTGGATGTCAATGAGCTTCCCATTTCCTCATCGGTTGAGTGGGATATAAATCCACCCTCCACCCGCTCAGGCGTTTCAATGGTGAGGTGGGTGTCCAACTGTCAGTTTCCTCACCCTTTGAGCTTTTTAGTTACTTAACAGGTATTCCACAATCCAGCAGTTGAGGGTTGTAATGGGTCTTTACTATTTAAAAACATTGGACATTCTGCATCTGGTTCGTTTTGTAATAACCACAAATTACACCCCATCTCTCACTTCTTAAAACATTTCTGACAGTCTCACCATAGATACCCTCCCACCTCTCTGCCTTCCCTCACCCCTACACTACCCTTCCCCCATGCTTGGGCCCCGACACCTGACTGTTCAGTGCTTTGGGACGTCCTCCCGATGTGAAAAGCGCTCTATAAATGTAATTTTGTTGTTGTGGTTGTTGTTGTATTGATATATGTGGTTGCATTCTTTTCCACCTTATACCAAGACAGGATCCTTCAAGGGCTGCGGCAGTAAATTTAACTCCAAATTACTTTATAAATTTTCAATTAAATATATTAAAACACATATTTCTTAAGTAATGTTTTTTTTAAAAAATCTATCTGTTACTCTTAAATAACATTGGCTTTTTTTGCAGTGTAACACCTCTAACATCAATTATTTTAGAACCACGGGCATTGCAGAAGCAGATTTTCATGTATTTTCTATTTCACATTTCGGTTGACACCAATAGGAGAGAACATCACTCGCCATGTCAAAACAGTATGAGGCAGGAATAAACAAGGCAAACAGGATCCTGGGCTACATTGGCAAATCATTTGAGTTCAGCTCCTCAGAAATCTGTTTGCCTATAAAATACAATCACTATACTGAACTATATCAAAGCCTGGACATGTTATAGTTTTAGTCACCTTGACATACGAGAACTACCAAAGCCCTAGAGGCAGTGCCAAGGAGATCCAGCGTAATAGTTATTAGCTTTACAGGGTCTCAGAGGGGACAATATAGAGGTAATAGCAACAATTTATATTCATGTCCATACAGCTGACTGGGACCCTGAGGTGAGAGCAGGGGGGAACTAAATATGGGGTGGGGAGTGGGAGTGGGGGGAAGAGGAAAGGTGACTGAAAGTTTAAAAGGTCTTAAAATGGGATTGAAAGGGAAGGAGAGGGTGATATACTGTATATAATTTTAAACGGGATTGAGAAAGTAAACTCAAAACAAAATTTTTAGGGTTTAGGGTTGCGAAAAGCATTTTCAGAATGAACATGAGGAAATATTCCTTTCCCCAGAGGGTAATTGATGACTGGGGAGGTTATTGTAAAATCGTGACTTGCACTAGTGACAGAGGCTACAATGGAACTGCATTGCTGTGGGACAATGTTTGGGTCGTAATTAGCCTAAAGAGGAAATTAAAATCTTAAAATCGTAGTATCAAGTATTAATTTTATTTTATCTTCACTAAGAATTGTATTAGCATACCAACATTAAAAAAAATACAGAAGAATGTTTTGGAAAGCATACCCAGTTTATCTTGGGGAAAAAAGTGAAGAGTATTGTTTGCCTTTTGACCTGCATTGCAGATTCATGCTTGCCCTTCACTGCTGGTCTCCTACCAAAATGATGGCTCAGTGAACGTGAAATGCTATGATATCATAGCACATCACTGGCTTTATTGCAATTGATGCAAGACCTTTATTTTTTTGAAAAATCCCCAACTATTTATGATGCAAACTGCTTGATAATTCAAGCAGAAGGCAATACTTTCAAAATTTGAAAACAGCTAAGGATTTTTCTTGTTGGTGATTTTTTGAATGAGTATTTTCATGGATACTATGAAATATTGCAGTTTATAATTTACCATTTATAATTTATTATTCAAAACATGACTGCTTTCTGAGATGACAAATAAAGAAATGCTTTGACCCCTGAACTAAACAACTTCTGGAATACTTTACCTCCTTTATTGCTCGTATTGGTTGCTGCTGTTTGCGGTTATCTTTTCTGAGAAAGAGTAAACATAGCCTAATTCATATAGTAATAGGATCCTATTATTCGTAAAGTAATAGGATCAGGTTCACTTAATATTGTGCCAAGATGACTTAACCAAAGGTCCTGGTGTGTCCAAACCCTCTTCTCACTCTTACTGCTGTCAAGAGTGGCTGGCTCAGTTAGTAGCTTTCAAGTGGTTGTAGGTTCAAGCCCATATTGGGCCTTTGCACTCATGTTCTAAGCTGTTCCTGCAAGCTAGTTTTTAATCATTTATATATCTGGATCCCTTAATCTCTTTGTTCCCCTTGCTCCCCCTACACCGTAACCACCCTCCTGCACTGTCCTATCTTGTATGTATTCCCATCTCCTGTTCTCATGTCCATTTTGTAGTGCTTCACACATTTTTGCAATGATTTGCATCTACCATCATTCTGCAAACATCTTAATCTGACTATGTTCTTTAGTAATTTTCTGCTCTTTTTTCCACAATTCGCTACAGCTCCCAATATAGTGTCCTCTGCAAACTTGCATATTGTCCCCTCTATTTGCACCTCTCCATCATTTATATAGAGAATGAAAGGTTCTGATCGTTGCATGACCAACACTATCAATCAATCTGAAAATGTCCCTTTTATTCCCTAGAAGTGCTTATGAGTGATAGAAATTAATATGAAATGCAAAGTATTCCCATTTTTATTTTTCCCCAAAACATGACTCTTTTACCATTACGGGCATGTTCTCATTTACTGACTGTTATGTTTCTTTTTCCACTGACAAAATCACACCTTTGCTATTCAGCATCCAGGTATGCTAGGACACCCATGCAACTTCATTAGTATTCATTGATATTGTGGGACAAGATGCTTTTCTTCCATTTTCAACAAAAATGTCAGTTCCCTTGTGCTTTAGAATGGTCTCTGTTGTTTGCTTGTAAGTAAAATTCTCACGTAAGTACATTATCTTGTTGATAACAGCTGCTTTACCTTTCCAAGTGAAAATTAAATAGTGTGGAATGTAGACATATTGTACCTCTCATTCATTTTTCATCAAGATAGTTAGTTATTCATGTTCACCAAGAGTAAATCAGCTTCTGTATTCTGGACATATAGAATATCTGAATTACAGCTTGTTTTATTTCAAGAAACTTGGTCAAATCCCGACTTGTCTGAAATTCTAATCAAAGCTAGAACTCATTATCTACTATGTTCAGGGATAACTGTGTAACTTACATGCCAAGGCCTTTATTTTAAGATTTAAAGAACCACAATGGAAATTAATAAAGCCTTTTTGTCAATAGAGAATTTCACAGAAAGAAGCTGTATTCTTTTCCTCCCACAATAATGTGCCATTGGGAATGAAAGACTTCAACCTCCAGGCTTGAGCACTAAGGTTTGGCTGGTGCTAGAAGGTGCACACAAACAACAATTAGCATTTTCACAGCCTTTCATGAAGGAGAATGTTTCAAAGTGCTTTACAGAGTCTGAGCTGGGAGAAAGGTAGTAAGAAAGTGGCCATGGACACTGTCAAAAAGATTTTAGGCAAATTTCAAAATCAGAGGGGAGGGGGCAAA